TATTTGTGGAGTTTTCTATTCTTTCTCACATATACCCTCCATTGTTTAGGTCAAATAATATCTCTATTAACTAACACATTCCCATCATCATTTGTGGGATCCGATCCATTCCTATCATCACCCCCACCTACAACATTAGCCTTGTCCTCAAGGCGCAGATCAGGGAATTGACTCTTCAGCAATCCTTCCAACTCCTTAGTCTGTTGATCAGCGACACACGACACCGATGACCCTAACACCTCCATCAAGGTAGGCCATTCACAACCTGCTATCATTCGAGAAGGAGTGATAATGCTTTGGAAAGTAGCCATCTTATCATCTACAGCCTGACCAAGTAGTTTCACCATACTGCCTTTATGGTTGAACTCCATAGACATTTCTTTCCAATCCATGGTCACCTTCCCCAAAGTTTCTAGCCACACACCTCCTAAAATCAAATCCACACCTCCTAACTCTAACACATAAGCATCAAAGCAAATCTGCACTGATCCCACTTTCATCTGAATTCCATTGCATCTACCCCTAGTTAGGACACGACGACCATCTCCTAACTTAACACCCAACGGATTAGAAGGCACCATAGACAATCCCAGGGCTTCAACCACCTTAGGTGATATGAAATTATGTGTGGCTCCACTATCAATAAGTACCAGAATTAATGCACCTTGTAAACATCCCTCCAATTTCATCCTCCGGACTTGATTTGGATTAGTGGATACACCAAACAGCCCCATGGTTTTACATTCTAATTCCTCTTGTGTGAGCTCTTCTTCTGTCGCAGCCTCCAACACCACAATCTCTCCTGCATCGTTAACAATTTCGTCATCCCCCAAGATAATCACTCGTAACTGTCTTGTTGCACATTGATGGAGAGGATCCCATCGTTCGTTGCAACGAAAACAAAGTCCTTTCGCACGACGCTCGTTAACCTCTGCACTTGGTAGATGGAGAACACCACGAGATTGACGGCGTGAATTGTCACCTAAATTTGGGCGAGAAGATGCTGTAGAATTGGTAGGATGTGTTGATACGGTTTGAGATCCAGAATCCGAACCAGTCCGCGTTTGGCCCAAAGAATTATTAGGCTGGGTCTGAGTTGCAGATCCGTTCCCTTCCCCTTCGCGAAAAGTCCAATTAGGCTTTTGAGATTTTGTCCAAGAACCATGACCCGGTTTGTAACGTGATCCAGAACCCTGTCCAGAAGCCACTGCAAATTCACTTTCAACATCACGAGCCAATTGCATTGCTAGGTAACGGTTGTGAGGCTTGAAGGTACGCACACGAGAACGAATATCATGACGTAAACCACCAATGAAATAACCTAGAAACTGTTGTTCTGGTAAACGACCACACTGTGAAGAATACAGTTCGAATTCAACAATATATTCCTCTACTGATCCCGATTGTTTTAGTTCCTTTAATTCCTCAAACGGATTCTCCAAACGCCCACCTCCAAATTGAACCATCATCGCCTCACGGAGGTTCTCCCATGACACTTCCTCTGTTGAATCATGCCATAGGTTAAACCAATGGATAGTAGGGCCTTCCATACTCAATTTGGTCAACTGAATACGAAAATCCTGCGAAATTCGTTGTACCTCAAAGTATGTCTCTGCCCGAGTGATCGATGCAACCGGATCGTCACCGGTAAATGCCGACAACTCCACCTTCTTCGCAGATAAACGAAACTCATCCAGCGGTGAGGAAACTGTCGCACTGCTTGGCTGCGGCACTTTACGATGAGCCATTGCACGTTGAATCTCAGCACCAATGAACTCTCGTAACGCAACAATGCTAGCCTCGACACCTTCCAACCTTTCTTCCACTGCAGAAATACAGTCAGCCATCTTAGGAGCTTTGGGCATGAACAATGGTAGGTCGGACCAATTGATAGAACAGAGGTATGATTTAATATGATAAAGAAAAGTATTTTATTAATGAATGTGAAAGTAAAATAAATTCCAGAGCTACTGCTCCTCAGTCAGAGAAACTATTCTCTCACTGCCCAAACCCTAATATCAAAAACAGAAAATCAATTAATGCCTCACTACTGCCCCATACACTCCTCTTTATATGGAGAATAATCCCTAAACTAACTCCTATTTATATGGAGAATAATATCTAAACTAACTCCTATTTATTTGTGGAGTTTTCTATTCTTTCTCACATATACCCTCCATTGTTTAGGTCCAATAATATCTCTATTAACTAACACATTCCCATCATCATTTGTGGGATCCGATCCATTCCTATCATCTTCTTTCTACATGCCCAAACCACAGAATTTAAACGTCACCACACACCTTCAAAAATCTTTCAAAATTGATTTCAATTAATTATTGAAGCATGAATTTCAACACTCTGGTCACATTTCCGCATTCTAAAAAGATACAAATTTTACGATGGAGACTGAGATATACTAACATGGTCTTCAGTTTCCCCTCATATATAATATGTCTGGTTTTCAATTGCAGTTCCTTGATTTGGGCTCTTTGCAAGCTGCTCTTCCAGATGCCCTCTTACCAGCCACATTTGGTGTTATCCCTGAACCCTGGCTCCCTCAAAATACAGCGACACCATATATTTCCTCTGCAGGTGAAGGTAATCCTAAAAACTTGAAGTGAAAGATTGAACCATCTCATGCGTCCCCACATACATCTCAGTAGTTAATTCAAATCGATATCGTCTGCAATTTTCATACTAGAATTTTGCTCTTATTTTGATTCAATTATGCAGGAGGTTTATCATTCATGGCCGTGCAAACACCAAATTCTCACTTACAGTAAGTTCCATTGCATACATTGTCTTTTTGTCTCTGCTGTTTATTGCTATAGCATAGTGGAACTTAGACAAAACCGTTTCTGTTCCACAATACGTTATTTAGTACAAAATGTCGTTAGTTATTTAGTACAAAATGTTGTTAAATATCCGCTATAGCACTATTTTTACATACTGAGATTTTAACAAACTCCCAATTTCTGAAATCTGTGACTGGCAGCACTTTTCTCGACTACGCGACCTACTAGCTCTTCTTTTTATTCTTCCATTTGTTTGTAAATCGTTGATGAAAGACGATCTAGTCCATTCTATGCATGTGTTTTCACTTGAGTTGCATGTTGACAGGAATATCCAAGCACAAGAACCAGTTGCTTCGATTGGCAGAAATCCTTTTGCGTAGAAACACGTCTTGTACATTGTACTATTGTTTCCTAATAGAAATTTGGGCGTAGCCAGTGTTAGGTACTGAGTGAAGTAATGTTGATGTTTTTTAGATCAAAATGTAACTCATTACTTCCACTCGAGGAAGCATTGCAATTCACAGTCCCTTAATATATTCATGCGATGATTTGTAATACTAATTGAACAGATTATAGTTAGAATTCTTGATATTTTGAGATTGAGACTATTAAGGATATCTCACTTTGTTCATAATTTTGTAACTACTCCCTCCTCTCTCACTCGAGTGACTCATTTAAAATAAAGACGGTTCTAAAATGAATGATCCATTTTAATTTCTAATGCATTTTTTTTTAAGTTTACCCTCTAATTAATACTAATTTTACTATTTCTAATACAAGATGATGGTATTTTAGTAAAAATATCATTGTCTCTTTCATTTATTCTTTTTAAAAAAAAAATTGTGTGAAGTATTCAACTGAGTCACTCCTTTTGAACTAGAGGAAGTATAATTTAGCATCTTATAATGCTCGGACTATTAAATGACATGTAACATCAATCATCTTTTAAGATTAGATTAGATAAGATTAGATAGTTAGTCACAAGTCAACTGGAAAAAAAAAATAAATAAATAAATAGGGGTCTTATTTAGCTACAATTTAATTTTAACAAATATTTTAGTTACAATTTAATTTTGACAAATATTTTATAAAATTTTATTTAACTATAATTAAATCGTGATAATTTTAGGTTTTGTGTGGTAGTCTGTGTTGGACATTCTAAAAGATGAGTATATAACATGTCTACTATATTATTCTATTAATTTGTATGGGTTTGTTAGAAAAATTTAGGTTGAATTGTAAGTAATAGTTTGCAAGTTGAACTTAGTTTGCAAATTGAACTAAAGATTTTTCGGTTCAATTTTTAAATGTTCAGGTACACTTAGATTCAAAAAAGATTTAACTGGTTGTACATTTTATGAATGTGCGATTGTGTACTTAGATGTCTTTGAAGCTATGAAATGAGTTGTTTTAATGAGACAATACATTTAGGTATTTTATAAAGAGTTTTTATTCGATTTTTGGACTATATGATTCAATTTTTTTAACTGTCATAATTTATTAACATTCATACCAAAGTAGATCAGTTTTTCTTGAATCAAGTCATGTACAATCCTAAAGAATTCAAAAACATTTGGATAGACGTCAAAGAGAGTGCTAAGGACTCAATGATTGTAATACATTGTTCATCATTTTCTTTTATTTCAACCAATCAATGATAGACACAATGATAGAGAACTCAATGTAAAAGAGAAAAAGATAAGATATCTTTCATAAGAGAAATAGAGACAAAGACATGATATCTTTGAACTAGATCTCATCTGCATTTAATTTGTAAACTACTTGAGAAACACAATCTTAATTGAATGGTGTGTAACATGTTTCTAGTTGTTGAAAATGTTTGAAGAAAAGATATAAAGAACAAATTCTCATTAAATATCCTAACTACAAAGTCACATTATTGCCTTAAATCCTCTTTCTATCATGAATCCTACATCTGCCAAACACACTGCAACATCAACATAAATATCATGTCAGAATACTTTATAACATGATGCAACTTTAATGTTTTCCCTCTATAATACCAACCTCATTTGTTACATAATTAAACCCTTTCTTTTTCATATCCAAAAGTCCCTCTTAACTGCATAACTTGATATTAACGTACGCGCCATCTGATCACTATTATAAGCACAAAAATCATTGTATTGATCGGATACATCAATTATTCGGTAAGTCTAAATGGTGCGTAAATTATCTTTATCACCAGAAGTTTATAGGTAAATGTATTGATTTCAAATCTTTATCTATACTTGGAGGGGACTTAGAGTACCTCCTAAACCTATTCAACTTCAACTTCATAGCAGGAACTTTATGTGAAACAGCTTGCCAAATCATTTGTACAGCATCACCTTCTTTAGATGGAAAATTATATTCAAAAATATGTTCAACTTCTTTCAACTTTTTCCACATTTTTGTCCACTCATCTTTGCTTATACTCCTGATGAAATTTATGAGATAATTCTCCTCGACAGCATCACTAGCTCGAACGAATACGCAGAACTCGGAGTAGTCTAGGACATCCTCGAACGGTAACTCGATTTCGTCGCTGATGATCACAGGCACACAATGACTAGCAATTGCGTCGAACAAACGGTTCGACGAAGGCGTGTCGCCTGCTATGTTGAGGCAGAATTTCGATGATCGCATGCCTTCCGTCGCTTTCTTGATTCCGTCTTTTTGAATGCTTCCGAATGAAAAATGTACATCAGGTTCATCTTTCAATGAATAATATAGCTCTTGCCTTACATAACCTCCCTAATCATAAGATGAAACAAAAATTGAAGTCAATAAGCATAAGTATTTATATTCTAAAGACTTATCATATAAGTGCTTATATATAAGTTATTCCTATAACAAGACTTAAAATAAAGTCAAACTTTTCATTGGAGTGCTTATGGTAATAAGCTGAAAACAACAGATAGATAATGTCATAAGCCGTTTTCACAGTAGATGAGTTCAAATGAATCGAGCAAAACAAGAGAGACATACGTACATCTTTTCGATAAATTGCTCCTTGGAAATACAACAATGTCGTGCGGCTATCGAAGCTTGAATCATCATTGACATAAGAAGGGATTAAGTGCTTATAAGGTGCAATCACATCTTTTTCAACATTAGCTATACTTGAAGGATATCTTCCAAAATCTGAAAGTATGAATGTAGCCGGCCACAATTTCATTCTTGCATCCAACATACTATTAGGATGATGTGCCATAATCAAATGATCTTTTCCCTTTGATCTCTTCCATTCCTCTTGAGATGTTAGATACTTCACTAACTTCTCTTGAAGTATCATGTTCTTAGTTTTCTTCTCACGTGGCTTAGGTTTCGAGTTTCGGTTATAACTCAACGACGAAAAGAAGGGCACAAATATTATGTCGGCTTCGCTAGAATTTTGAACTCGAATCACGGTCTTCGCCTTTGGAGCATTCGGAATTTCCGAGGCAAGAATGTCTAATGTGAGCCAAAATTCTATACTATGTTGCAAATTCAAACCTCCGGGGTAACCGGGTATTGTTGTTCTAACATTAGGCCAAACACTTTTACCATCTTGTTTCCAATCCAAAAGCCCGAAATGAAATTCGGAAGGCAAATCATACATGAAAACTTTTAGAAGAAAAGCATCATTTCTATCACTACATTCTGTATTCTCATTGGATTTGCTAGCTTCACTTTCGTCTTCAACATCTTCGTTGTCCACGAGTATTGCTCGGTTCCCGAACGAGGACTCGACATTCGGGACTTTTGTATGAAACATGGAATCTTCAAGGGTGGAGAAAAGCTTTGAACTTGGCAACAAGTTGTGATCAATGAAATACGGACGACTTGTGGATCGCAAGACGAAGACCCATGACATGAGGAACATGATTGATGTCATTGAGAAGAAGAAAAGCAATGATTTTTTAGAAACAAGTTTGAAAGAATCCAAATGCCTCTCAACCATTGTCATAGTTAGTAGTACTCACAACTCAAGAACACTAATTCAACACTTCTGTCTATTTGATATAATCACAATTAACAACCATGAAATGATTCACTTTTTCAATGGTTTCAAAGAAAATATACAAAGACAATCATCCATGTATTCAACAATCAAACACATACATATTTACAAGGTTTATTCAAAGAATAACCTAACCTTAGATTTCTTGAGTGATTGATTACTAGCTACATAAACAACATTGTGCAATTTTGTTGACAACCCATTTGAGTGAAGCATAAAGGGTAATCAAAAGTATGAAACTTTACCAATGAATCTATCTAATTTTGACAATATCAATGCACAAACTTTGGATAGAAGGTCAAGAAAGAAACATGAAGAAAGAAACAAAAGTGGTTGTTTTAGTGAGTTGTTGTAGCTATTGTTGTTGACATAAAAAAAACAAAGATAATGTGACTTAGTGTGTTATGGTGAGAATTGGAATGAAGTTGAAGAAGAAAGCGTGTGAATAGGATCTTACCATGGAATAGGACTTCTATGCTTTGAACTTCACTATTTTTGTGCCATATAATAATTTAAAGTTGTTACTTTTTTACATTAGAGGCGATAGATCCTAGATAAATATTGTAATAAAATATTTTTCAGGAACAAGTTTGAGATTTTTTTTATATAAATTAAGCAATTAGAGTGTAATAATTTAATATTTTATTAGATTATTAATTAAAAATATAAATTTAATAATTGTTGTAAGTATTTTTAGTAATTTAAAAATTTTATTTGTTAAAAGTATAAACTCGTAACAAGTGCGCTAATGATTAAGAACTATCACGGTATTCAAGATTGTTGTGATATTGAAAACTATTATCAACTTATTATAAGTTTTATTTGATTAGGAGTGTATATAAGTTGGATTGAACCGGGTTTGATCTAATTTACTATCTAATCTGTTCAAATTTTAATAAGTTGGATTCTTTATCTAATTTACAATTTATTGTCAAAATCAATTTGAATCGATCCGCTCATTTATGAATTGAGTAATAAAAAATATATTTTTTTTATGATTCATTTTGTCAGTTTAAAAAATATAACAAAACTCAATATAATCATATTCATTTATAACATTTAAATTCGATAAAACATATTATATAATATCTAATAAAATTCATCAACAAGACATAAACTTTTATAATAGTATAAAATTCAACCAAAAACGTTATTTTTATAAAATACATAAGTTAGAAATAATACTAAAGAAAATAAAAAACAATATTTAATTTTATTATTACCTAAACTCATTTCTCTAGTAGTATTATTGGTGGACAACATTTTTTTCTTTTGAAAAATTATAGTTATTGTGAGATATTAGTTTTATATTTTTATTTAAAATAATAATAATAATAATAGTAAAAAATTATTAAAGTCATATAATGGGTTAGGTCAACGGATTCGTGAATTGCAAATTTTAAATATGATATCCGAACTAAAATTATAAAGATTGTTTTAGATTGAATTAGATATACTAATAAATAAATGAATTCATATAATTTATAAATTAATTCGATTTAGGATAAGCGGATGAATTTTTTGTTAATATAACTATGTTTTTTTAACAAAAATACTAAACAAATTAAAATATCAAAAATTTTACTAAAATAGCTAAGTTTTTACGTTGGATCGCCAGTTCAATTGGCGACAGAGTCCAAATGAAGTGGACTCGCCATTTCAAATGACGACATTGCCCAACTGGCCCAATAGAGAGTCGCCAATTGGTTTGGCTACTCCTTTTTTTTTTTTTAGTGTTTACGTTTTTTATTTCAATTTAAAAAATAAAATAAAAAATACAAATGGGAGGAGTAGACAATTGGTTTGGCTACTCCACCTACTTTGGTTCAACTCGCCACATCAATTGGCGACATCACTTTAAAACCTAACCATTTTAATTTTTTTTTAAAAATTTTTAATTTATTTAATGTTTTAATTGAATAACATTGTTATACTTAAAAAAAAATTCTAAGCGGATTCATACTTTGATCTGCACCATCAATTCTAATTTCCTAGAATTAACCATAGCCATCTAAAAAAAAACCTATATTTCCCAATTCATATAGATTTTATAAACTAATTATTTTTCAATCTAAAGTTACACGTACTCCATTCATTTTTTATTATAAGATTTATAAATTTTACGGATATTAAAAATAATGATGGTTACAATAAATTTGAAAAAATTATGTGTTACTTTTAGGAATTATTCATACAATTAATGATATAATAGGAGAGAAAACTAAGTTTATTTAACAGTTACGGTTTAATATAGATATCAAAAATCATTAATGTATGTAAAAATTAATAAAAGTCTTATAAAATTTGATTACATTTAAAGAAAAGGAGTCTTATAATTAAAGACTTGTGATTTGTTGATTGTTCAATTTTTTACACCACAGTGACAAAATTAGACTTTGAAAATATAAATTTGTAACGTTTTTTTTATAAAATTAATTATTTGAAATAGTTAACATTTTTTAAACAATAGCTCAATAATTAAGGGTTTGTCCGGGTGATAGTGAGTTTTTGGTTTTGAAAATCAGTTTTAAAACTAAAATTTGTTTGGAAAATGTGATTGTGTTGAATTTTTACTTAATTTTAAAATATTTTTCACTACAATTCAAAACAAAAATAGAATTAGATTTTAAAATTTGTTTTTGTTTTAAAGTTAAAGTATCACCATAATGGTCGGTGACCATTCTTTTGACCACCACCAACTCTGACTCTATTTACCACTTATTGATTATCTCCGATCACTATTTTATCCACATTCTTTGATCTACTATTAGATCATTATTAAGACGACCATTTTAACTAACAGCCACTTTACACTCTACCTTTCATCACTACGATAACTGTTAACTACCACTTTAATCACCACTAACCACTATTTTAACTAGCCTCTACCATCACTTCAATCACTACTAATCACCACTCAATATATCTATGCTTGTTAATCTAATCAACACTCACCATGATCGACTATCACTCTTATTATTACTTTGATCACTCGTCATTACCATCGACTTCCACAACTTTAATAATTATCGGTACTACTCAAACACACACACACGCACACGCACACGCACGCATGCGCGCGCGCGCACACACACACATAGTGGGGATCAAGTTATTCAAAGAGTATGTTTTTTTGACTTACTCCAAATTATAACTTTTGAATTGAATATAATTTAATGGTCAATTAAAAAACTCATTTAACCATTAGATTAGATTCAATTTAAAGGTTATGATTTGGAGTAAGTTGATCCCCGCCTATATATATATATATATATATATATATATATATATATATATATATATATATATATATATATATATATATATATATATATATATATATATATATATATATATATATATATATATATATATATATATATATATATATATATATATATATATATATATATATATATATATATATATATATATATATATATATATATATATATATATATATATATATATTGTTGTTGTTGTTTCACAGTTTTAAAAATTAGCCACATAAGAAATTAGCTCTCTTTAAAACGTTTCGCGACACTGCCCAAAGTTATGCAAAGCAGTCGAACTAGCGTGCCGCCTCTAGGATAAAACAACCCAATTCTATACTATATAACTACTACTTGCATGGTAGATAATCGATCTAGAAATACACCCTCTGATGGTACAAAGACCATTCGAATATGGTTAATACCACTCGCAGTATATGGTATAATAACCAGTCGTAATAATTTCTAAAACCAAGAAAAATTTCAGTAGTTCTCCAAAGAGAATTTAATAATGGTCATTTGACCACTCAAGATGATTTCTCAAACAAAAATAAATTCGAATAATTCTAAAAAAGAGAATCCAAAAATTATACTTGATAATTTCTCAATTCAAGCAAATACTCAGGAAATTCAAAGAGTAGAAAAAAGGGGGAGAAGTTAGCGCTTCGACAATTCAAAAGACGTAGAGTTATGAGAGTGATGAAGGAAAAAATTCAAAATTAGTTTTTGGTATGTTTTAGAGTGGAATAGAGAATTTACTTATATAATGAAGTGAGGAAGGAAATAAATCTCACCTAAGCAATGTAGGACTAATGAGTTTTTTCAACTAACGCACAATGTGAGACTTTACTTAGGGTGTGTTTGGTTCAGCATAAATGGAGGGGAGGAGAAATTTTTAATTAAATATGTTTGGTTCAAATCTTAGGAGGGGAGGGGAACAAAATTCCTCAAAAATACACTTTTTGATTCCTCCGAATTGGGGGGATTTGGAGAGGAGGGGAGGGAATATGAGTTTTGATATTTAAAAATTATTATATTTACTAAAATATCCTTCGTTTAATTTCAGTATTTCAAAACTATTCGTTTTCTTTCGTGTTATTACTTTTTCTCGATTGTTTTCATCAACTTATTATAATTGTTCTCCACCTTCAAATTATTTTATAATTTCTATACTTAATATAAATCATAATCATTGTTTTTTTTTTATAAAAAAAATTTATGTTTAGTTATATTCGGTTTTTTCTTTTAATTTTGTTATGTATTCTATCATATTTTTTTTATATCAAATTATAAACCATTCATTTTATTTATTTTTGTTTATTCATTTTATTAAATATTTTGAACCAATTAATATTTAATAATAAATTATTTTATATATTTGTTTTGTTATATGATTCATAACAATTTAAACGATATTATTGACATATAGTTTAATTTATGTTGGAAAGTTATAAGTCGAATCAATTGTACTCAATTTTTTAATTTTATGTGACAAATAAATACTTTTTTAATCACTCAATATTAAAAATTTTATTACTAACATAAATACGTAAATTTTTTATATTTTAATATGATATGAATTATATAAAATCATAAAGATAAAAATGTAAATTATTAATAAAACTCCTTCCCACCCCTTCTGAACCAAACACATTTTTAATTAAAATCCCTTCC